ATGTTTACGCCACAGCCGGGTGGCATCCTCTGGTGTTACCGGACTGCCCATGTGGAAAGGGCATGTTCAGCTCCGAGTGTCCTGGGAGGAAGTTGCTCAACCTGCATGGAAACCAAACCCTCACTCTGGCTTCCTCTGAAAATGTTGCAGCAATTTCTTCACTGTCAGTGGCAGAAACCTGGCAGTTGTCTCGACCTGGAGTCACCCAACTGGCCATTTTGTAATCACGGACGGATGGTGCAGGTGTGCCTTCCAGAGACTCTCCAGCACGGTTAGATTGTTAGTTATGTAGAGACAAAGTCTTGCTCTGTATCTCACGGGGCTCCCAATCAGCCTCAAGGTAGGAGAGGTACGAGTGTGCACCCCACACCTCACTAATTCCAGATTTTTCACAGTTTGTCTACAAAGTCTTACAGTAAATTGAAGTGGGACTAAGTTTGCCTGGTGGTGGTGCACGCCTTTAATCCCTGCACACGGGAGGCAGAGGTAGATGAATCTCTATGAGTTCGAGGCCAGCCTGATCTATAGAGTGAGTTCCAGGACAGCCAGGAAACCTTGCCTCGAAAAACAAATAAACAAACAAAAAAGTGGGGTGTGTTCTCAGCAGCCACACTTTCCCTCATTGTACACGCCCTGAGGCAAGTGCGTGTCCACAGAGGGAGGGAGGGCGGAAAGGAGCCTATAGGTAGCTGATGCTTCCACCAGGACATTTTCACACTTGTGCCAACTGTATCCACTCGGGTCTGTGCCCCCTGCTGCCCTAATCCCTTCCTCGTTCCTTCCCTCCCTCAATCAGCCCCTCCTTCTGTATTCATGTTACATTTGGGTTATGTGTAGCTAAAATCTAGATTCTGATTATGAGAGAAAATATGCGATATTTCTCCATCTCCCCAGCAGCCTCTGTTGCTGTCCCTTCTGCTCGCCCCTTGTCTCCATCCCCACTCACTCTTCCCCTTCTTTCTGTATATTTTATTAACTGTATGATATTTATTATGTGTGTTCATGTGTGCAGAGGTACTTGTGGCCATGTGCACACGTGAATGTGAAGACTAGAGTTGGACATGTGGCCTTGTTTTTGAGTCGATGCCCAGCTTGGTTTTTGTTGGGGGATGGGGAGCTCTGCTTTTCCATTTATTCACTCTGTATGTGTGTACATGCCACGGCCCTTGCGTGAGGTCAGACGACATCTTGTAGGAGTCACCATCTGCTTCCACTATTCTGGGACCTGGGAAGAGAACTCAGGTTTTCAAGATTGGTGGCAAGCACCTTGTCGCGAGCCTTATTTCTGAGCGGGCATTCTGCCCTTACTTAGAGGTCTGCAAGTAAATACTCAGGATGACCACAGTGTTTGTTCTAGGAACAAGTTTATTATGTCAATAGTCAAATCTCCAATTGTTAGCAGGTATGGGCAAACATCAAAACTATAACAATCATTTAAATCCCTAATTATTCTTATATCAAATATAAGTAAGCATCAAACCTATAACAATCCTAGCCAATCAATCACATCACACCTTCAATCACATCACACATTCAGCAAAGGTTCCTATGTGTCCTAGGCAAGGTCTTCTATCCTATCTTACTGAGGCATTGGTGTATATGACCTGATAATGGTCCGTGGCTCTCGACGTAGGCCTCTGGATCTGGATCTTGATCCGCAGGCAAGAGCTAGTTCTCTGGCTCTTGGAAGGTCTATCAGCAAGTCAGCAAGCCAACCAGTCAGCAAGTCTTGATCCGCAGGCAAGAGCAGTTCTCTGGCTCTTGGACGGTCTCAGCTGTGAAGTTGCTGGTTCGTTGGATTCTCTATGACCGCTCTGACAGCATGTCTAGCAAGTCATTTTGAGAATGCCTCCTGGTCGTAAGCCTCATGTTTTTATACTATTTTGTGGCTATGGTACTTTTTTTCTTTTTAGATTAGCTTATCATATAGTTACGTCACACTTGTTCACCAGCTCAAACTCTTATCACCACTGCACACATTGCTTCATGCTTTTTAGTTTCATTTTGTGTGTGACACCTAATATTGTGTCTAACATTTCTGGGCTTATTTTTATAAACTCATATCATTTCCTTTAATATTGTCTCCTAATACTCCTGGACTTATTTGTCCTTACAGACTCATAACACACCTTCACTGGTAAGCCTTCTCATAGGCTCCTTTGTAATCCCCCTTCTGCTTTCATATCACACACACTCACAGACACACAGACAGACAGACAGACAGACGCACACACACGAGCACACATGTTACTAGATTCCTCACATGAGAGAAAACCTGGACATAGACATTCTTTTTTGTTTGTTTGTTTGAAGACAGGGTTCCCCTGTGTAGCCCTGGCTGTCTTAGAACTCACTCCGTAGACCAGGCTGGCCTTGAACTCGGATTCAAGGCCTCCCAAGTGCTGGGATTAAATGCATGCACCATCATGCCTGGTTGACATAGACATTCTTAAGACATGGTTTGCCTTCCACTGCACCCAGTGATGGCTGCTTAGTAAGTCCTTAGGGCAGGCTGGCACATCCCCTGCCTGAAGGGACAGATGGCCAGAAGACACTAGGAATCACATCTCTCCATTATTCTCATTCTTTCCAGCCTGGAACAGGTTTGCAACTCAAGAATGAACTTTGTAGATGGCAGTGTCATGACACAGTGTCAAAATGCTAGAGACAACTGTGATCTTAATCTTCCATTCCGGTCACTACGCAGTGACATGTGGTGCAGTTGGTAGAATGCTGGCCTAGTGTGCCCAGGTGAGGGGCTTTCTTCGGGAGATGGGTGTCCTACACACACCACCTCATAAGCTGGGCCTGGGAGTGCACACTTGAAACCCCAGTGCTTAGAAGCTGGAGGCAGGAAGTTCAAGGTCATTCTCAGCTACATGGAGCGAGAAAGAGAGCAAGCACAAACCATAAACGAGTTCCCAGCAGGTTGTCTGCCCATGCCAACCCTGCTGGCCCAGAGCTCTTCAGAGACCCCAGATTTCCACGGATGGCTTGTCCTTTGAGCTTTCTTTCTGCTGAAACCAAAGCCAGTATGTCTCTGAGCCTTCATTTGTGCTCACTGAACCCAGAAGCACAACCACTGTCCTGAGAGCAGCCGGAGGCTGAGATGGCACCAAAAGACTGTCCACTTCCCACAACGATGTGCTGTTGGATAATGGGTCCATCCGAATGGAACAGAGGCCCAGCGGAAAACGCCAGACACCTCCTTGCCACATTCTTCCGGAGCCACAGACAGTTCTTTCACTGCACTGGACAAGCTAAGCTAGGTTCAAGAAGTCTCAAACATGACCGTTTTGCTTTAAAAACTGAGTGAGGTGTTGTGACTCAGGCCTCTAGTTCCAGAACTCAGGAGTCTGAGGCAAAGGGATCTCCAGGACTCTCAGGCCAGCCTAGGCTACATAATCAGACCTTGCTGGTAAAAAACAAACAAACAAACCAAGGAGGAGATGACTTAGTAAGTTGCTGCCTAAGCATAAGGTCCTGTATTGTTCTTTATAAAGAATATGATGATGGGATGCCCTGGGCGGCTCGCAGAGCAGCTTCTAGTCCGACAAGGATGGCTGTGGGTCCCTGCAAGATCTCCAGGGTGGCAGCGCCATGCGGCCGGGGGAGTCAGGTGGGCGGTTATGGTGGATAAAAGGCTCACAGGACATAGTATTATTTAAAGAAGAGGGAGACATTTATTGCTTAAAGAAGAGAAAAACAGAGAGACATAAGAAAAACACAGAGAAAAACAAAGACACATGTACACACGACAAGAGACAAATACAAGAGAGAGAGAAGATGGCAGCGGGGGAGGTCAGAAGTGGCTGGGGTGGGTGTGGTTAGTCCTTAAAGTGACCGCAAAAGAATAACATCCTGAGTTCAAAACCCAAGCAAGCCTACAAAAAGCCTGCCTGACCCTGCCTGTGCCTGGAACCCCAGTACTGTGGGAGGCAGAATCAGAAGGATGCTGGGGCTTTGCTGTTGTAGACTCTTTACTGAGAGGCCTTGTCTCAAGGCAATAAGCACAGAGTGGTAGAGGAGGACACCCAGCATCTTCCTTTGACCTCTGCACATGTGCACAGGTCTACATGTAAGCATACCACACCCCCATAGACTACACACATGCACACACACATACATGACACAGATACTACACACACATACACACATAGAACACATACACACACAGACAACACACACACATACACACACAGATCCCCCCACACGATACATATACAAACACACATAGAACACACACATACACACACGACACAGAGACCACACATATAAACATACATGCACACACAGAACACATACATACACCACAAAAATGAGGCTACCAGCTTTTAATACACAAGGAGAACAGAAAGGGCCAAGGAGAGAGACACAAGCCTTGCCCTTGGACAGCAGCCAAGGTTGCTTTTCTTCTGCCTCAGGGCACATCAGCCAGAATAGCCTTGTGAGGCCAGATAGCCATGTGACAAGGGTCCAAGGAAGGAGCCTTCAGGGCAAGTCCACAAACACATAGATTTAGGAAGAATTCAATTTTAAATCTAGAGACCTAAAGAGCCACATTAACCTGAGAGAATGCAGTTGTTTGACCTTTCTATGAACTCAACCCAGGACAGGTTCCCCCTCTGCATCCATTCAGCTGGCCCTGTTCTTCTGAAAGGGTCTGACCCCACATCTTGCAGTTTGGATTGTCTCCAATTTTGGACTGGGTGTGTCCCAGCTGTCTCCTTGAATCAGGGTCACCGGGAGCAGCTTCCAAACACAGTAGTATTGGGCACAAAGTTCAGATCCCCAGAACTCACATAAATGCCTGGCAGGATGACAGCCAGCCTGTAATTCCACCCTCAGTAGGCTGAGATAGGGGATCCTCGGGGCAAGCTGACTAGTTAGACTAGCCAGATGGACAGACTCTGGGCCTGATTTGGAGACCTGTCTAAAAGGACGAGGAAGAAGCATGACCAAGGAAGGCTCCTGACACAGACCTCAAGTTTCTATAGGCCCTCACACACATGTACACACTACATGCAAATGTACTCATGAAAAGAAAAACAAAAACGAAAGGATGGAGCATGAGAAAATGACACCTGCATCTATCCTGTGACCTCCACCTGCTTATGCATGCATGCAGATGTACAAACAGGTGCAGGTATCTATGCACACATGTATGCACACACACACACAGACGCACACATACCACACACATACATACACACACACACACACACACACACAAACTACTTTATACAGAAAGAGTTCTATTAAAAAGGCAGGCTCTCTGGTCTTTTGCCAGCCCCTCCTCCCCATCCCTGTCCCCTGCCCAGGGCAAAGGGCTTCTGTGCTGTGTGCAAGCTGGGGACTTTGAGAGGATGCCAAGGTCATGCAGCAGAGTAGAGCTGAGCGTGGACTCGTCTCCTCAGCGGCCTCACTGAGAGCAGGGTGGAAAACCCCAGTGGCAAAGGGGCCCTATTTGTGGGGAAGCAGGAACTTCCGTAAATAGCCACCTGCTTTGTTAAAGGGCCTACCTACCTACTCACTTCAGAATGGAACTCCCCTCCTTGTCACACATCAATGACCAGAGGCAGAACAGACCCTGAGCTGTCGGAATAGACAAGGTAGGTTGCCAAGCCAAGCCACTAGGTGGTCCTGCATCCCCAGTGGACACAACAGGACCTCAGTTTTGCTACGGAGCCATTTATACAGGTGTCTGGGAACATCCCATCCCCAGAGGACAAAGTCTGAGGGAACCACCCTTCGCTCTCACCGGCCCAGTCACCACAGTTTCCCCTTTGTCACTTTCACAGGCACCTTGTCCCCAGACAGGAACTGCTGCACGGCCCACAATAACCATGCTTGGCACAGCCCTGGCTATAAGCCCAGGGGCATCACCTCAAGCCTGGTCTCAGAGCAGCCACAGTCGGCTGCTGGCCGCCTGGTAGAGAGCCTGAGGAGGGACAGAGCAAGCTTGTGCCCTCAAGTCTGTGTGCCTGCGTGGGTCTGTGCACACCTTCCTTCCCTACGGTGCTTCCCCTGGAGTGTGGAAATTACCCAACAACCACAGCGGCTGGGAAGGGGAACCCAGCAACTTCCCATTTTGAAAGTTCTGTTAACTGGCAGTCCGGAAGAAATCTTTCCCCACCTCACTCTAAACTAGAAATGGTTTTCATTCTAAGGGTATTGTGTGTCTATACTGGAACATCTTAGGTACACGAGGGGACATTGGACAATGGGAGATCACAGCCCTGGTCACGCATACCACCATTGCCCCCTCCTGGGAGGACCGGCCTAAGAATTCCTAGGCTCTTCTTCCATGGCTGCCCTAGGTCTTTGGGTGCACAAAACTATATCTCAGACTTCCTTACTCAATTGTCTCTGTGTTTAGAACATTCTCCAGTGTCACCAGAGATGATTCCATCTCCTTTTCATCTTCACTTAGTTTCAAGTTTCTTTTTAAGGCTGCTGTTTGTGCCCGGGAAATCCTCTAAGCTACTGCTGGCCTGGGCATGGGGTATGGTATCAGTGACAACAAAGTAGAAACTCCTAGACAAATGGAACCTGGAACCCCAGCACCCCAGCACCCCAGCACCCCAGGACCATGTCATCCTCATAGGAGACCCTGGGCTCAGACGCTGTGTGTGTAAAATGAAGATCCGGGCCAGGGTGTGGTAACTGCTCAAGAGTTACTGCTCTTCTCGGGTGTAGGGGAATGGCTGGGCCGGTTAAGGACTTGCTGTGTGAGCAGGAAGACCCAGTGCCCCTCGGTCTTGCTGAGCCAGACCAGACAAATCAATGACAGACCTGTCACTGAACATCAGACAAGGGGGAGAAGTGATTGAGGAAGATACAATGTCAGCCTCTGACATAGACATGCACTCCCCCGACACACATGCATACATACCAATTCCAAATATTCCTTTTTCTCTCCACATCTTTTTCTTAAAATTGGTCTTTATAGATTTGCGTTTCGGAGAGTTGCATCATGAGACTGAAACTTTAATGTCTTTTCTCACAGAGGGATGAGATACTCGGGTACCACTCCGTGCCGGCTTACCTGTCCGATTGTGTGCTTGCTTCTACAAAGAGCACTTCCACGGACACTCTGCTCCTTAGAGTAGTAATTGCAGACTCCAATTTTTCCTATAATAACAGGACCGACTAGAAAGGCAGCCTAGAGTCGATGGTTGAGGCCAGTGTGTTCCTGATCTTCCTGACCGACTTGCTGTTGTGGCTTCTCGGGTTGGTACTACAAACCCAGTTCTGACATTTTCCTATTGAGCAAAAGCTGGACCCAAGTCTCTTTTCTCCTAGGAATGAGTTTCCATTTAAATACCCGTTAGGGCTCTCATTTTCTGGACATTTCTGTCTGTGGTCTGTCCGTTGGAGACATGGTGTCCGAGTAGCTTGATTTTGAATGATCAATATCCATCTTAAATAGAAGGATACACCTTCTTCTAGATTCCTCATGAATTATAGCCGAAACACCCTGTGCTACACCAATTTACTTGGAGTAGTTACGGAGGTGATTATCTGTGCTTCCCACAGACTGTGGCATGGAAGGACTTCTTTGAGGCCCCTGACAGGATTCTAAGTCACTTGTCTTCCTGACTCAGTTGGCATCCCCATTTCAGAGGCTTTGTGTGTGTGTGTGTGTGTGTGTGTGTGAAAGAGAGAGAGAGAGGGGGGCAAGGGGGGGGAATGGAGGAAAGGAGAGAGAAAACTCTGGTGTCCTTCTTCAGGTTTGAGGCAAGGTTACTCACTGGCCTTGAACTTGCCAGGTAAGCCAGGTTGGCTAGTCAGCCTCTCTGTGCTGGCTTTTTTGTTGTTTTGTTTTTTCAAGACAGGGTTTCTCTGTGTAGCCTTGGCTGTCCTGGAACTCGCTCTGTAGACCAGTCTGGCCTCAAACTCTCAGAGATCTACCTGCTTCTGCCTCCCAAGTGCTGGGATTAAAAGCATGAGCCACCACCACCCTGCTCAGAGGGACTTCTTTATACGAGTTCTGGGAATCAGACGCAAGTCCTCGGGGCCACTTCACCAGCTGAGCCGTCTCCAGGCCCATGTTCCACCGCTTTAGCCACAGCCGGCTACCGCGTATCCTTTGAGAATTTGTAGTGCCTTCACGTGCATATTTTCTCGTCAGCCTCTCAAGCATCTAGACACACCAGCTGTGGATGAAGTCAGTGTAGCTCCCTGAAGATCCAGCGTTTTGCTGGCGTATTGATCCGCTGTAGCAAGGCACTGCAACTGGGTGAAAATTGGTATTTGCCTGTCTTTTGGTATCAGAGTTCAAGGTTGAGATGTCTTGGGGTAATTTTCTTTGGAGGCTGGGAGGGAGCATGTGTCTCAGGCTGCAGGCATCCCTGGGTTTCCTTGCCTGGTATCTGCGTCTCCCCATCTGTCTTTCTCTCCCATGGAGTTTTCTGTGTGTCCACTACCTTTCCAGTTTACTAAAGCCCTGGGCCCAGCTGGGTCAAGGTCCACCCTGTGAGTTCATCATCATCTGACCGTGTCTGCAAAGACTTTATTTCTAAATATTCCATTCTGAAGTACTGCGTTAGGGCCACACCTATCTATGAAACACCACAATTTAACCCACAGCAGCTGTTAAAGCGTTAAAATGGAATTTTATGAATGGCAGAGGTGGCTCAGTGGTTAAAGAGCTCGTCCACAGTATGGGTTCCAAGCCCCCATATTGGTAGGTTCACAACCGCCTGTAACTCCAGCTCCAGGGGATCTGACACCCTCTTCTGGCCTCTGTGTGTACTACATCCCTGTGCACAGATACGCAAGAACACATACACAGTTAAAATTAAATCTTTTTTTTACTTTTTTGGTTTTTCGAGACAGGGTTTCTCCATAGCTTTGGAGCCTGTCCTGGAACTAGCTCTTGTAGACCAGGCTGGCCTCAAACTCTCAGAGATCTGCCTGCCTCTGCCTCCCAAGTGCTGTGGTTAAAGGCATGGACCACCACCACCCAGTTTGAAAGTAATCTTAAAAACCAAAGATATTTTACACTTACTATATTATGAATCTGGTATGTCAGTACATACCTATAATCCCAGCACTTGGAAGGTGGAAACGGTGTGTGTGTGTGTGTGTGTGTGTGTGTGTGTGTGTGTGTGTGTGTGTGAATCAAGAGTTCAAGGCCATCCTCAACTGAACAGGAATCCCAGGCTAGACTGAGTCACATGAGATCTTACTTCAAATAAGTTATCTTCATTAACTAATTATTATATGGAGTAGAACACAAGAGTCTTTTTTTAAAGAATTGTTTTTATTGAGCTATATATTTTCTCTGCTCCCCTTCCCTTCTACCCTCTCCCATGATCTCCCAATTTACTCAGGAGATCTTGTCTTTTTCTACTTTCCATGTACATTAGATCCATGTATGTCTCTCTTAGGGTTCTCTTTGTTGTTTAGGTTCTCTGGGATTGTGAACTATAGGCTGGTTTTTATTTGCTTTATGTCTAAAAGCCACTTATGTGTGAGTACATATTATATTTGTCTTTCTGGGTCTGAGTTACCTCACTCAATATGTTTTCTAGATTCATCCATCTGCCTGCAAATTTCAAGACATCAATATTTTTTTCTGCTGAGAGCCTACGATTCTTACAGATTTGTGAAGACAAACCACAAGGTGCTCCAGCAACCTCCGTCTTTGGGTGGGCGAAAACATCCCCCCCTCCCTGCAATGTTCTCCTCTTTCTTCCCTGTAGTGCCTGACCCAGACAGCATTTTCATAAGGAAATATGGACTGTCCTACAGCTTGGGGAATATTATCATATTGACCACAAAAGAAGAAACAGGTGGTCCCAACAAAAGACAGAGCTTCTTCACTCTGTTTAATCAAGCAACCAGGAGAGGTTTCAAAGAGCTGAACAATCTTTATAAAATCCCCTCCCCACTCCCTCACCATCAAATGATGGCCTGATCCAGAAATGCAGCTCAGAGGTAGAGCGTTGTCTAGCATGCACGAGGCTTCAGCTTCATGGCTTAGTGCCACTAAAAAATAAATGACACCCAAGTGCACTCTCAAGTACCACTTGAGACCTAAACCCTGCTCCTCTGACTGTTGGTCCGGATGCTCTACTTTGAAGGGTAGGTAGCATTTATAAGATGCTAATGTGGCTATCTAGTGCTAGGCCCCCAAGGTTCCTGTGCTCATACAGGCCAAACCATTTTATCTCTAGAAAACTTTGTTCAAATTCTTGTTCACTGTGATTTCCCAAGCGGTGGGGGGGGGGGGGGAGGCGGGAGGGGCACTTTGGGAAAACCCTAGACCCATATGTACCTGTTGTGGTTTGAATGTAGCTTGTCCCTCTTGAACTTGTTCTGGAGTTTAAGCCCTACTGTGAGGCGTGGAGCTGCTTCAAAACAACTCCACCTTAATTGTTTACAGGTCCAGCCTTTGGCAAGTTGATTAACACTAGTTAGGGTCGTCAGCTGATGCCTCACTCATTCAGCGGCTTTGGCCGCCCTCTTGTGGTCTTGTTTGGAACTGCCTCGGCAAACCATCTAGAACTGATTTTTTTTAACCTTCCTAATGCAGCCTAATTCAACCTTTTAATACAGTTCCTCAGGTTGTGATGACTCCCCAACCATAAAATTATTTTGTTGTTACTTTATAACTGTAATTTTGCTACTGTTATAAATCATAATGTAAATATCCGATATGAGACCCCCCAAGGGGTCACCGCCCATAGGTTGATTGCCACTGAGCTAGATTTAAACTGAGCTGCTAGGTTGAAAGCAGCCCTGTAAGGTCATCAGTGCTGATATCAGCCAAGCAACCAGCAAGCCATTCTCAAGAGTACTCGAGCTTTCTGGCCCTACCATGGCTTGATTTTGGTGCCATCTTAACAATGACCCCATGGACTATTGTAGGAATCCTGCTCTCTTGCTAGGGCCTCTAAGGTTTTGGCTGTAGTCTTTAGGCTCCACATCCTGGTGAAAGAGAAAATGGACAGAGGTACTTTGCTGGCTTAAGGATCCTAACCTCCTCTTCAGAGCTGTGCTCCTCAGATGAATTTGCTCAAGTAGCCTCTAAAAGAATGGTTGCAGAGAGGAACACGGTATGTATTCACTCATAAGTGGATTCTAACCATAATTAAAGGTCTTTGAGCCTATTATTCGTGATCCTAGAGAAGCTAAATAAGAAGATGAACCTGATGAAGATCCTTTAGCTATCCACCAGGAGGTAGGAAATAGTCAAGAGTCCCAGGTAACCTCGGGTGCATGGGGGTGGGGGGTGGGAGGGTTGTTGGAAGGGGAGAGGGTTAAAGAGAAGGGAGTAGGGGAGGAATGGGGAAAGCTCGGTTGACCAGGAAGGGGGGGGGGAGGAGAGGAATGGAGGAAGGTTGAATATGGGATCAGGGAAGAATATATTTCAACTAAGGGAGTCATTTTAGGGTTTACAGGAGACTTGATTATATATGGGATCCCAGGTCCAAGGAGAGATCCCCAGATTGTTCTCTGGACAGAGGAGAGGGTGCCTGAACCGGCCTTGGCCCATAACCATACTGATGAAGATTTTGCTTATCACCATAGATCCTTCATCTGGCGAAGGACGGCGATACAGACGGAGACCCACATTGGAGCACCGGACGGAGTCCCTCAAGGTCCAAATGAGGAGCAGAAGGAGGAAGAACATGAAAAAGGAAATAAGGACTGCGGCGGGCGCCATCACCCACTGATACAAGGGGACTGATCTAATGAGCGTTCACCAAGGCCAGTTGGACTGGGACTGAACGAGGACATGATCCAACCAGATTCTCTGAATGTGGCCGGATTCTCTGAATGTGGCTGGCCCGGAGTCTTTCTGAAAAGCCATTGACTATGACACTGGGACTCGTTTCCTCTGCATATACTGGATTTTTGGGATCCAGTCTGTCTGGACACTCACCTTCCTGGACCTGGAGGGAGGGGGGAGGAACTTGAACTTCCCACAGGGCAGGAAACCCTGACTGCTCTTAGGGATGAAGAGGGAGGAGGAGAGGGAGTGGGGGGGAGTGGTTGGGTGTTGGGAAGAGGGGCGGAAATGGAAACTTTTATAATTTAATAAAATTACTTTAAAAAAAAAAAAGAATGGTTGCAGGACCAGGGATGTTTCTCAGTCAGTAGAGTGGTTACTGAGCATGTGCAAAACCATAGGCTGGACCCCCAGCACCAGGGTCTCACACTGCCCAGGCTGACCTTGAACTCACTGTGTACGCAAAGATGGCCCTGAACTTCTGACCCTTCTGCCTCTACTTCCTGAGCTAAAGACCAAACCCTGGGCTTCACACGTGCTAGTGAGCCTACATGCCCAACACGAAACAAAGCAAAGAGGACCAGAGTTCGATCCCCAGAATCCATGTAAAAAAGCTTGACTTAGTGGTGCGTGTTTGTAATCTTAGTGCCTGGTCGATCCTTGGGGCTCGCTGGCCAGCCAGCCTAGCCCATTTGATGAGTTCCTGCCTCAAAATGAACAAACAAATAAGAAAAAAGAAACAAACAGACAGACAAACAAAAACCTGGGGGGGGGGGATGGAAACCCGAGGAAAAAGCCCCTCCCCTCAAGTGCCTGTGGCCAGGCTCTGCCCCCAGACTATTCTAATCTAAAGGCTATAATGGCCTTTTCCAGCCCTTCCAGACACCAGCACTCAAGCTCCTACCTACATTCTCAGCCTGATCTTCTTTGATTCTTTTGTCTTCCAAGTCTACTGCTCATGGATAAATCCTTAACTCTAGCCGGGTGGTGGTGGTGGTGGTGGTGGTGGTGGTGGCCTTTAATCCCACCACTTGGGAGGCAGAGGCGGGCAGATCTCTGTGAGTTCAAGGCCAGCCTGGTCTACAAGAGCTAATTCCAGGACAGGCTCCAAAGCTACAGAGAAACCCTGTCTCAAAAACAAACAAGCAAACAAACAAAAACCTTAACTCTAGCCCACTTTTAAGTTTATCTGATTAGCAATCTTTTTGCTGTTGCAATGTTTTGAGATAGGGCCTTGTTATGTAGCACAGGCTAGCCTCATGCTTGTGTTCACAACACTTAGGAGATAGATGCAGAAAGATCAGAAGTTCAAAGTCATTCTTAGATACACTGGGAATTAGAGGCTAGTTTGGTATGAGTTCTTGTAAAAGGGGGTTAGGGGCAGGTAGGAGATAAACACACAAAAAGAAACAAAGAGGAAAAAATATTCATAAAGGTAATTTAGGGTCTGTGATAAAATTAATTCTAAAGCCATTCATAAGCCTTTGTCTTCTGTGAACTATGTGGCTAATGGACAGATCATTAGGTAAGAGTCTTGGGTCCCCTAGGTTCTGGCTTCCTACCACGAACTGGCTGCAGCATCACACTGTGGTAGCATAACTCCTCTGATCCCAGGTCTCAAGATCTGAGGCAGGAGGACTGTGAGCCTGAGGTCAAGTATAGGCCTCAACATAGCAACCCTGTCACCATGGAACAAAACAACAAAAAACAAGACAAAATAAGAGTTTATTTTTAATAGTTGTTTTTTTTTAATTTTCTGCACTAATATTTGTACAGCTGTAAACTCAAGGAATCATCCAATACTTGCATACATCTGGAGAACCATTAATAAGCACCTTCGTGGTTTCCACAGTTTAAGAATTGAGCATGTCAAACATTTTAGAAGGGATCTAGTAAAATGAATAAAAGTTTTAAAAGATGGATATCATAAAACACGAGAGAGAGAGAGCTTCATACAAATGACTGAAGGCTACTTTATGAGGCCGCGTGAAAGATTCACACGCTCCCTAAATCTTGTCATATACATTCCAATTGTTGAAGTAAAGACTTCCCCCCCAGTTCAGGTTCCCAGTCCAATGGAAGCAGGTTGAGATGGAGGTAGGAGGAGATGGGACTGGAGGCTGAGCGTGATGAAGCCGGAAGGAAAGGAGGTAGGGGCCCTATTCCCCAGGAAAAGCATCAGACAGGGTCTTCTATGTCTTCAGGGATAAGCATTCTTTTGCAAAATGTGCCATTTTTCTCTGAAGTTATTTAAGGGTTTTAGTTTTAGCTGCCTTTAAACCCCTCCCCCACCATTTCCTCTTGGGTTTTCCATTCCTGTTCTCCATCCTTCCCACTGAGTCTTGTCTATGCCCTTACCCTACACTGTGCTGAATGAACCTTCTGAAGCTTGGCTTTCAACCCAAAATTTCTATTCCTTTAAGTGTCTTGGAAGAAGTTTAAAAAAAGAGGTAGATAGATAGATAGATAGATAGATAGATAGATAGATAGATAGATAGATAGAATGGTGGTTATGTGTATGGTCAGGGGATATTTTTGAAACTAATAACTGACAGAAACACGGACGCAGCAACTTGAACTACACCAGTGAGCAATAAATGTCTGGACAACTAATAGAAATACCCCAATTAGATCTTTCCAGATTGGGCCTTCAGATGAAGATCTAGCCAGCAAAAGCCATAGAGAGGGGGAGAAACAAAGGCACAATTCTAAACTTAGAGGACTATGATGGGCCACTACTCTGTTCCAGCCCTACCCCAGCCTGGGCCCCGGACGACTGTCCATGACAATACTTGGAAGCCGGTACCAGGAGTGGGGCTGAAGACTCACATGGCGCCACAGAACAGATGCTAATCTAGGTACTTCGAAAAAGAGGAAGAATTTGCTACAATTCAAGACACACCAAAGTCCCCTGTCCTCAAACATCTTGACTCTACATCTTGACATCCCTCTCACAGGACATGTCTTTGATTTACCCACTTGCTTAGCCACGGCCATTGTGGAAATATCAGGATTTTTAAAATCTGGGAGGGGCTGCTTCTTACCGTTTGTCAAATACCAGGAGTTTCTAGGACATGGTTAGGCTTTGATCACTTGGCAAACCATGCTAACTGAAACCAGTCTTAGATGGGGGAAGGTGGTTCAGAGCGGAAGTAGTTAGATGGGAACACGGAGACAGAGGTTGGAGTACCGAGAGAAAAAGGATGCCTCATAACTTCGCCTAAGCTGGACCTGGATGCTGTGCTGAGAAACTGACAAGCTCTCAGGCACCTCAGAGTAATGGCTGAGCTTGTAACGCCACAGACAAGGACTATGTAGGGGTTCTGCTTACTGTGGAGGACCCTAAGACTAGGAAAAGCTCCTATACTTTAGAATGGACACATAACTTTCATACTGAAAAAAAAAATTTTTTTGAGAAAGGGTATCACATAATCCATATTGCCTTTGACCCTTGCTACATAGACAAGATTAGTCTTGATCTTCCCGCCTCTGCCTCTCAAGTGCTAGGGTTAGAAGCATGCACACTATGTTGGCTTTTTATCCAGAACTCTATAATCTTGCCTGAAGACTGGGGTCCAGGAATATGGGGTCCTACCCTCATGTTGGGGTAGAGACTTTTCCATTACTGACTCAGGGTGACTATTCTAGGGGAGGTGGAGGGGAAGTTGTGGGGGCTCAGGGTAGGCTAGACCTGGGCCCAGTGATCACTCCACTGCAGGATAGTTTTCAGTCTGTTATTTTGTTCCGATCAAGTCATTTCAAGTAGGGTGTTACTGTGAAATACTTGGAGAGGGAGCAAGGCATTCTTGTCATCACTTCCGTTCAATGCAGTCAACTCCCAGGGTGTTGTCAGGGCATCGGCAGGTTCTGCTCCCTGGAGTGGGCAAGCAGAGGTGGGTACAGCCACCATTATTCACTGAGCAGTAGTTGTGGCCTGGAAAAGATGGAAATCAGAGTCAGAGTCTCCTCTCTGACTGACTTGACATCTACAGCAGCCTCCCTGTTAACCTCCTTGTAGGTTCAAGGGCCCAAGATAAGCTGTTTGTTCCCCTGTCACAAATAAGACAAGCAAGAACATGCATTCCTGATTTGGAGGTGTGGTTAACGTGAATTGTCAGCCTGGTGGAATTTAGAAACAACAAAATCACACCTCTGGGCATGTCTGCTAGGAGTTTCTCATTGTCTTTTGGAGGGGGGACGGGGGGTGTCAAGACAGGCTTTCTCTGTAGCTTTGGAGTCTGTCCTAGCTCTTGTACAGCAGGCTGGCCTCTGACTCACAGAGATCCACCTGACTCTGCCTCTGCCTCCCTAGTGCTGGGATTAAAGCTGTGTGCCACCACCTCCCAGCTAGGAATTTCTACATGAAGTTAATCAAGATGGGAAAATCCACCCTACACCACCCCATGGACTGGTTCCTGGAATGAATGAAAAATGAGAAAGCAAGTTGAGCACCAGCAACACTCGTCTCTCTTTGTGGCCTGACTCTGGGTACAGTGTGGTCTCACACTCCCGACACCTTGTCGACACTACCCTTAAACTGTGAGCCACAAGAAAAGCCTCCCCGCTTAAGTTGCTTTTCAGGCATTTTGCCCTGGCAATGAGAAAAGGAACTAGCGCAGAGGGCTGGCTGTGCAGAGTTTATTCCACAGATCGCGGGGAGGGGAGGGCTCTTCAACCCTGTTGTGGAATGTTTAACTATGTAAAGATATGTACATTTATTCATGGCTTGGGATATTACTTTAACTGTCTAAAGGAACATTTGTTCCTGCTGCCTTTGTTAATGATGTAAGGATGTGTCACATTTGTTTTTGCTGCATTTGTTTAATTATAAAAAGATGTGTTGCATCTGTTTCACCTTGCCTGCCAAAGGCACCTGACTGATCTAATAAAGAACTGAATGGCCAATAGGTAGGCAGAGAAAGGATAGGTGAGGTTGGCAGGCAGAGAGAATAAATAGGAGGAGAAATCTAGGCTTGAGAGAAGAAGAGAGAAAAAAAGAAAGAGGGGGACACACCCAGGGCAAGCAGCCAGGCAACTGCCAGCTGGCCAGACACAAGAGGCAGTGAAAGTAAGATATACAGAAGGAAAGAAAAAAGGTAAAAAGCCCCAAGGCAAAAGGTAGATAAAGAGAAACAAATTAAGTTAAGAGCTAGCCAGAAATGAGCCTAAGCTAGGCCAAGCACTCCTAACTAAGCAGATGGCAGAGAGAAGGCCTGGCACACAGCTCCAACATGGCGCTGAAACAAAACTGCAGCTATTTCCCCTCCAACATGCCCATGGCCTCCCACTGACTGGCAGCAGGCAAGAAAGAAGACGACTTAGGAAAGAAGCCTTTGAGGAGGCACGGCTCAACACAGACTCTGGATCCAGGCCACCAGGATCCACCTGCAGCTCTGCTGCTGCAGCTGCAGGATTCTGAGCTCACTGCTTGCATTTCCTCATGCAGGATATGGAATAACAGCATCGACCACACAAGGCAACTTAAATGAACTAATGAACAAAAGGAACCCAGAACCGTGAGATGAAACATATGTGATACCTAAGCCACACAACTTGTATATGTGTGTACACACATGCACGCATATCCATGTATACGTAGGTGCACCTCAGTCGGCACTGTCTCTCTTTTGAGACAGAATTTCTCATTGGCCTGGAATTTTCCAGCAGGCTAGGCTGGCGAGCTAGTGAGCACCAAGGCCCCTCTTGTCTTTGCTTTCCCATTGTTGTAATACCATGTCACCAAGCGGGACCAGCTTGTTATGTGGGTTCTGGGGATTGAACTCAGGTCCTGATGCCTGCAAGGCATGTACTTTAGTTGCTGAGCCATCTTTCCTGCCCTGCCATTTTTCTTATAAGTCACTTTTATTTTTATTAGGCCAAATGGGTGAATGTTTAAAAATATCAGTGATTTAACAGTGAGTTCCTTTGTGATACCGGGTGACTGTACACTTCAAGGCTCAGCCCAAGACTCAAGACGTTTCCTGCCTGGCCACATCTATGCCATAACTTCATGCTTCTCATTTATGCCTCTGGCTCCCCATTCAGTAATGAAGACTCTTGGTGGAAGTGACCACATCTCATCCACTGTGGCTACTAGCAGCAAGATGTAGGCTTGGGGCCTCAGGACGACCGCCCCCCAGATTCCAGAGAAAGCAATGAAGGACTGAAGGATCCTTCAGGACGGATATTCAGAATGCTCAAGTTGGGCTTTCGACAAGAAGGAGCTCTGGGGTATATTGAGTCACCATGATACTTATGGGACTCTGAGTGTTGACCTCACATTCAACAGCAAGGATGAGTTACCTTGGGGGCACTGGGACAGGGCAATGGTGATGCCGTATAGCCGGGTCTGCTTGTGCGGGTGGAAGGCATCCATCTCTTTGGATATAGCAAGGTCCATGGCAATCACTGAATTCCTGCAAGGCACCAAGGCACAGACAGTGATTATGCATCTGATGGCTTGAACTGTTCTCAAGAGGTTACTCATCCTCTTCTGTGGCTTGGAAGAGAAAAGGAGATGTGGTGTTTTGCTCTCTGTGTAATCCTTCCTCCCTCTTGGCTGGGTAAAGCCTGTAGTTCATAGTTTTAGGCCAAAATAACCTAGCTCTCCCCTCTATTCTAAATTCTAGTTGACATATAGGCTCTTCTGGCCAACCGCCTCCTTGGTGTGACCCTCCCTTTGAAGGAAGGTTTAGTCCAGAAGCGGCTGGGGGAATAGTGCAGTTTTAAAACTACGTAGATGTAGAGGTATGATATAATCATAGAGCCCACCAGCCACGTGACCCCAGGCAGCTCCCGGGGAAAGAGCAGACATGCTCAAGAAGTCCCAGGTTCAGGGATTATCAACAGCACCTCTGCTCCTCTCTGAGATTTGCAAGCCCTCTTCCTCTGCCTTCTTCTACATCTTCTGACAGCCAGGAAGAGGGAAGAAACAGGCATCGCTGGAGGTCGAAGGTTAGGACAAGAGGCCCGGGGCAAAGGCCTTCAAGGCCTCCACAGACAAAGGGAAGGACACAGTTCTGCCCACTTGACAGCAGCCTACTTACGTCTTCCAGTCTGTGTAGTACAAATTCTTCCCATAGCTCGTCACAGCGAAAGGATACTGGAGCCCTTCGAGAACCTTGCGTCTGCCGGGCTGAGCTGGGTTCAGGCATTCTGCTCTATGGGTGCCTGTGTGCAGCAAACACAAGTTGGTCATTGTTCATGCAAGAAATGGGCCCTTTGTGTCAGAAAATAAGAGTCTGAAAGACAAGGGGTGAGGGGGGGCTCAGTGTCGCCAAGGCCTGTCCTGGGCAACACAGAGGGCTGCTCTTCAGCACTGACAGCCCATTTCTGCCTCCTATTTTTTCCCTTTCATCAACCTACACCCACCTGAGTTCCGGCACCCACACCTGGCCCTACTGAGGAGATGCGAGCCAGGGCAGAGAAGCACAGCCTGTTCTGGCCTTGCCAGTCCTTTGTCTCAAGAGGAACCCCTGCTATCTTCTGGCTTTTGCTCAAGTCCCTCCCCTCTAAGCCTCTCTGGACCCTTTCTTCCCAGAGTTGGGCACTGAAGAGCTGCAACAGATCAGCAGTTAGTGACTGGCTGCCACTAGTGTCCGCAGAATGGATATGTTGTACAAGCATGAAAGTGTTCACACCCCACTCTTTGTCCTTATTAGCTGTGGGACAGACTTTCATGGGGAAAGATGAAGGATGGGCCCCTGGATGAGCATCTTTCCCACATCTCATCTCAAGCCCAAGGGACACCCTGCACAGCTGAAGCAGAAGCACATTGGGGACTCTATGCAAGATGCTCTATTATCTCTGCAGACATAGCATGCAGTCCTCAGGAACCTCCCACCAGAATAGGTGTAGGACATTTTGCTATATAAAGCCATATAGCAATGATTTCAAGTTCTGCAGGCCAAAAGACAAAAACCAAGGATGATACTGGGTATTTATAACATTTAGAATGGTAACATTTAAGAATATAAAAGTCATTCCAAACTTGATCGCTGTACAGAAACAGGCAGTGGATGAGATTTGCCAACTCTAGGGCAAGGGCAGTAAGAAAATGAGAAAGTACAAGCACACAATCTCAAGCTTCCCGTCGTTACCTGCATCCACCCAGCAGAGCTGAGACGAGAACGGGTCAAAGGTGAGGCCATTGGGCAGGCCCAGGTTGTCCTGTGCAAGAATCCTCCGGTTAGTGCCATCCATGTAAGAAGTCTCAATTTTGGGGCTCTCTCTGTTCCAATCTGTCCAATAAAGGTTCCTGAAGAGGTAACAGGGGAGAAAGAGGAAGCAAGATCCTGAAAACACTTTAAAAGAAGCAGGGAGGAGCTCAGCTGACAGGAAAGCAACACAGCTAAGTGAGACCCTGAGAAGCTAGGAAGGATTCTAGGCTAACCTTGGCTCTTTGCTCAAACTGGGTTATCTGTGGCTAACAAATCCTATTTCCTTTATAGTATCTTGGAAAAGCTAGTAAGCAAACTTGGAGGTCTGGGGCAGGGGCAGTTCAGTGGGTAAAGAAAGTGAGGACCTGTGTTCAATCCCCAGCACCAGGGGAGGAAAAAAAAGTCAAGCATGGTGACTGAGGTTTGCGATCTCGGTGCTGGGGAGCAGGCAGGTGGGTCACTGGGTCTCTCTGGCTAGCAGCCGGCCCTACTTGGGAAGAGATGGGCCAATGAGAAACCCTGCTCAAGGGTGCAAAAGGTGGGCACCGCTTGAAGAATGAATGGTACACAAAGTTTGTCACCAAACACACAAGCACACATAAACTTTGGGCCTGACATACACAAACAGTAATACCCAGTAATAAACCTGTGCAGGCGGCCACAGTGGAGCAAAAAGGTTTGACTAAGCGAGATGTAGATACCAGCAAGGTGGTGATGGAGATGTCTGCCGTATGTGAGGTAGCTGAGTGCCCACAGCACAAGGGATATTGCCTCTAAGGGAAGGCATCAAAATGTCTAGGAGCGGGGGCCTGGGGTATAAGATTGAGAACTTGTCATAGGATGAAAAGAGAGGAAGCTGCAATGGGCTGAAGAAGCCCTCAGGAAGGGGACCCAGGACACTCAAGCCGTATCTGCTCCAACAAGGAGTACCAGGGATGTGGTTAGGCCAGCCCAGCGCTCTCGTAGCTGCATGCAAAGTGAGTGTTAGTTCACTGTAGTGACATTTCATTTGCATTTTAATAAATAAAGCTTGCCTGAAGATCAGAGAGTAAAACAGCCCCACTGCTCAGCCTTATAGACCAGGCAGTGTGACACACACCTTTAATCCCAGCAGCCACTCTAGCTTGCCATAGAAACGAGGCAATGCATGCCTTTAATCCCAGTGGCTCTTGTCTTTAATCCCAGCCCTAGAGAGGATTATAAAACGGGAGGAGACAGCTCTCAGTCTCAGTCTCATTCTGAGATTCCTGGAGGTAGGATCACCATTTCGGACTGAGGTAGTGGTAAGAGTCAGTGGCTGGGCTGTTTTACTTTTCTGGTGTTCGGGTTGAACTTCAATATCTGTCTCTGGGTTTTTATTAGTTGTGCTACAGTTCCCATTCACTATGCAGAAATGACTCGCTTTCTGAGCTGTCACCCTACAAAGTCTCTTGACAAAAACGTGAAACTGGAACACAGCCTGAAGTCTACATTGTGGTAACTGTGCCCACATCTCATCAGCTTATAGACTCTGTTTCCTCTTTCATGGGAACAGTGCTGGCATTAGAACCTCCTCTGAGTCCATCCAAAAAAACCAGAGACTAAATAGGAGACTAGCACGTGTGTATAAGCAGACCTACCCTCCCACGGAGTCGGTCACAATGCCCCTGGGGTTCACCAAACCCGTGTCGAACAGCACCCGGCGCTGTGAGCCGTCCATCTTTGCCACTTCTATCCGGTCCAGCTGAGAGTCTGTCCAGAAGATGCTGCGGCCAAGATGGTCAAGGGCAATGCCTTCAGGGCTTCCAAGATCTAGAAGGAAACACTGAGTCATACCCTAGCCTACGAGTTTTCTGGTTATTCCATTGTCTTAGGCATAGTGGTCAAACCTTGAGAAACCAAATGGGGCTATGAAATTCTTACTGCTGATGAGATGAGCAATTTTCCAAGTGACAAATGCTACCCAACCATCCTCACCCACTGGTGGGTACCACACTGGGCACCTGGAAGGTCACTGTGACAAAGATGCAGCCATGCCCATTAAGAAGCCCACAGCCAACAGCTATTCAAACTGAGGCCTAGTTTCTATGGGTAGATATAGATACAGGATCAACGTAAGTTCACCAGGGAAGGGTTCTGGAGAAGTGGGCATCTGTAGAAGCTGGTTCCTGGAGGACCAATGAGAGTTTAGCGGACAAGGGTCTCAAGTAAGAGTTTTCAGATCTAAGGAAGACTCCATGAGGCTTGAAGTGGGCTGCAAGTAATTTTATATGGCCAGAGACTGTGAGAGTGAGGGAGCAGCCTCAGTGAAAAAAGGATGGAGGTAAGAACTCAAGAGTGTGTCTCCCAAACGAACAGGAAACATGAAGACGGAATGGTAGAGTTTTCCTTCCTTGGTGATTCCAGGGCAGGGAGGCACTTCAGGAAGCAACATTGCCAATCACACTGTCAGTCCTTGAACGTGAGTATACAGATAAAAAGAAGGTGCTGGTGATTACAAATTACACTCCCCATGGTCTCCACTGAACAATAGCAACAGCAGTCAAGACACAGGTTAGCACTGTGAAACAAATAGTCCACGGAAGTCACTGTAAGTTGAAAACATGGAATGACATTGTAGGATTTATGGGCATCCTTGAGATTCTTCCTTGTCCTAAGCAGAGGACGTTTAGCCCGGCTGGAATGTGAACAGGAAACGAACCCACCAAGCTGCACTGCCCCGGGCATCTGGTGTTTGAGCAAATCACCCCTGCACACTCTTATCTATATAGAAGCAACTCAACCTTTCACCTCAGCCTTTCCTGGAATAGAGCACGGTGTGAGAGCAGCAAAGTTTCTGTCAGAGGCTAAGGAGATGGCTCGGTCCATAGTGTTTGCTGTGCAAGCACAAAAACCTAAGCCCAATCCCTAGTAATAAATAAATAAATACATACATACATACAAAAAAAAACCTACCCATAATCCCAGCACTGGGCAGGCAAAACCAGGGTTTGCTGGTCTCCAGGCTAGACCAATCAATGATCTCCAGGTTCAATAAGAGACCCCATCTCAAAAAAAAAGTGGCGAGGGCGAGTGATTGTGGTAATCACCTGATATTGGCAGGCACATGTGCGTGCACCCACCACCCACACGTACACACACAGGCCTCTGACAGAAATCACTGTCCCAACCAGAGGACCGTGATTCAGAACCACCAACGGTTAACATATGATTTATTATTCATACCCAAAGAAGAGCTGTATAAAGTGCAGTTTTTTCCCACACCCTGAGAGGCCCAGGAACAATGAAACTGCCTCCCAGGGGCTCCCTGTGGCTTTCAAACAACACACACACACACACACACACCACCAGCAGCCACTCAGTCTGGGAAAAACTTGGAATGAGCACATCCTGTGGGATAGCCCTGAGCAGTTCTCAAACACTGCAGGAAGAGGGGCTGCCCAGACTGACTCAGGGCATCCAGAGGAAGCCTAGGAGAAGCTTACATCACACCGTCACCCCCTTCTTCACAAACCTGATCCTGATCTCAGACCCAAGAGCCACTGAGCCATTTTTCCTTCCAACCAAGAAAATATAGTTTGGTGAGCTACACTTTGCAGAGAAATGGGCTGGAAAAACACCCAACTGTGTTGAAGGAAAGGAGACGGCAAGGGGAGAGGTTTTCCCTTACTGCTGTGTGAAAAGGAAACTGAGTATGATACCAGGCAAGGAGGCCTCAGGAGGAGAAGAACATGTCTCCAACACCTCCCCAGAACTGCGTTGGACATCCATCTTAGACGAAATCACTTTAGCTCTTACAGCCCTCACTCCACTTAAAGGCCCCTTGGCAAATTTCCGTGCCAAAGGCAACAGGAAATAGCAGACAGTGACCTATTCCCCTCTTCAACTAGATTTTGAAATCAAATCAGAGATAACAGCAACAGCGTTTTCAACAGGGAGGTAAAAGGCATTTTCAAAGTTCTCTTTGTTACGCCAGGGTACGAACACTAACCAATATCATCTAAATACCCCGTCAGCTTCCGGAAAAGGATTTGAGAGCCGCGTGCAAAGCCAGGGCTGTTTCACTCAGCCTCAGCTTGATTCCTGACATGTTATCTCTAGAGAGGGAAAGGAGGAAGGGGGGAAATGGCCAGTGGCCATGGGGTGCATCAGAGGCATGCTGAGTTAGATGTTGAAACCTTGCGTTTGGCTCCCAAGTTAAAGGAAATGCAAAGCAAGGCTTCTATTTCAAAGGTGTCTCTTCCACCTAAATATTTTGCAGAGGAAGTGGAGGACCTCATACAGCTAACGGCAGCATGACAACGCCTTCCCAAAAACGATGAGTCATGACTGAAGCATCCATCCCAACTTCCTTGACCACGTCAGTACAGGGACCTTTTACAGATCCGGGAGTTTTTGGTAAAATGATTAAACATTCTCATGTGAAATAGATTTCAAAAATAAACGAACGGACTGAGGGTTGAACCAGATCCTCACACATGCGAGGCAAACGCTCTAGCACTGAGCCGTATCCCCAACTCTCTTACAACTTTTTATTTTGAGACAGGGCCTGACAAGTTGCCCAGGCTGACCTTGAATTTGTGGTCCTTTTGCCTCTCATATAGCTGGGATGACAAGCGGGCCTCGCTACTCTTTACTTATTGAAAGAAGGTATTAAAATGATGTCTATTTCTTTGTTCAAGCAGGCATCTAGATGAGGCCAAGTGCTGAAGTCAGGCTATGTCAGCACAACGCACGCTTTATAAGTTAATCAAAACAGAATTCTCTGTGAGAGGCGATCCCAGCTAGTTCAACTCCAGGTTGGAAGTAGGGAGAAGAAAGATGTGTTGAATTAGGGAAGAGAGTCTACCCCCCATCCCAAGATGCTTTTCATTGAAACGACTGATCTTTCACTCCAACACGGCCTTGGGAAGGGACGCTACTTCCAGAGCTGGCTGTGGCGATACATAGTTGTAACCCTGTGCCAGGGAGGGAGAGGCATGAGAGGCAGGACTTCCAGGCTAGCCAGGGCTACTGAACATTGGGTTAAAATAAATACACAGTAGTCAAAATAGTTCAGTTGGGAGAATGTTAAACTAAAGATGTAAATAAGTAAATAAGCAAGCGGAGTGGTGGTGCTGGCATATAATCCTAACACCTAGGAGATACAGGCAGGAAGATCATGAGTTCAAGGTCATCTTCAGCTATTTAATAAGTTTGAGGGTAGCCTGGGTTACTGGGTTACATGAGAGCCTATCTCAAGAACCAAAGAAATAGTCTTCAGCTTCTGGGTGAGTATCTAACAGTATGCTTGTGGGTTTCTTGACTATTCCTTCCATCCACTGCCTTTGATAAACCCTCATGGAGCACGCGGCGGAGCAGACTCTGTGAGAAGCAATTGCAGGCTCAGAAGGTACTGGACGAAATGGAACAGTGAGTTTAGTCTCATGATCCACGATGACGGACTACACAAGCTTCCAGAGAAAGGTGCAGGCACCTGCCTTGCTTCAGTTTTATTATCCTGAGACAAGCAGCTAACCTCAGCCAGGATGTCCCTGATTTAATGACTCAAGAAACCTGTGACAAACTTCAGAGGGGCTGAAAAGGGTAGAGAGCGGAGGCAGAGGACCCACCCCTTGCCAACCAAGCAGCTTCCTCTCCATCCTTCCCCTCCTGCCCAGAGCAGTGTGGGCCGCTTGAAGCAGCACCTGAAGGGACACTATTTGCTTGCTCACCTTGTCGAATGATGGTGGTTGGCTCTCCGCCATGCAGGCTGGCTCTCCCAATGGAAGGCTCGCTGATGTCGGTCCAGTAAACCACCTTGTCCACACAGTCGAAGGCTAGTCCAATGATGACTTTTGCCTGGAAGTGATACCCGTGATTGAGGACAGCGCACCCAGCAGCTAGTGTTGCCTTGAACTTTCCCGTGTGCCTATATATCCTCAGATAGTATTTTAAACAATAAAGAAAATATGTTTTGTTCATTCACATTTTTTATTGTTGAATTGTAGAAACTACATAGTTTAGAAAAAACTTTTTCTCTTTTCTAAATACATGTGTTTATACGTGTGTGTGTGTGTGTGTGTGTGTGTGTGTATATTTCTCTCATCTCCAGTTTGGTTTTAATTTTCTTTAAAAATATTTTTATTTATGTGTATATGCTTGTGTGTCTGTGTATGTAGCACAGACGTTCACGAGCCCTTGATCCCCTGGAATCAGAGTCACAGGTATTTGTGAACTGACTAACTTGGGTGCTGGGAACCAGATGGTCCTCTACAAAAGCAGCAAGTGCTCTTAGCCTCTGAGCTATCTTTCCAGCCCCAAGAACGAGCATTTCAAATGTACAAGATCCTTCAATGAATACTACAAAGCAATAAAGAAAAAATTAAAGATGACCCAGGGAACTAGAAAGAGATAAATTAGGTTAATGGATTCTGCAATTTAATCTCGCTAAGAACACTGGCCGGCCTGGAACTCCCTATGTAGACCAGGCTAACTTGGAACACAGAGATCTACTTCCTGCGTGCTGGGATTAAAGAAAGGCAAGAGCACGACACATGGCTGGCTGTTTTGTTTTTGTTTCATTTTCTGTGGAACAAGAAATTTAGACAGGAACATGCAAACAACAGTAGCAATGTGTTGGGGGAGGCTGCTTGTTTGTTTCCCGGCTGCCCAGACTTCCAAAATAATCACACAGAAACTGTATTATTTACAAGAACTGTTTGGCCGATAGCTTAAGCGTATTTCTGGCTAACTCTTATATCTTAAATTGACCCATTTCTATTAATCTGTGTATTGCCACGTGTCTGTGACTTACCAGCAAGGTTCCAGTGGGCGGGCGGCTACATGGCTTCTCTCTGACTCCACCTACTCTCTCTATATATGTCTTCCAGCCTGGCTTTACTCTGTTAAGCCATTGGCCAAAAGCAGCTTCTTTATTAACCAATGGCAATAAAATATATTCATAGCATACAGAGCGGAATCCCACATCAGCAATGTGTCTGTTCATGTCTATAATCTCAGAACCTGACAGATAGAAGCCAAGGAGTCCAAAGCTAGCTTTGACTACAGTAACATGTAGGCTAGCCAGAGCTACAAAATAAGACTGTTTCAAAAAATAAACAAATAGCCGGATGGCGGTGGCACACACCTTTAATCCCAGCACTCAGAAGGCAGAGGCAGGCGGATTTCTGTGAGTTTGTGGCCAGCCTGGTCTACAAGAGCCAGTTCCAGGACAGGCACCAAAGCTACAGAGAAACCCTGTCTCGAAAAACAAAATATAAAACAAAACAAATAAAAGTCTAAAGAGTTAAACTCAAATCTCCCTGACTGTGAAATCTCCTATAGTCAAGATTGAGTGGCACCGACCATCCTAAGGTTTTCTGGAAGATTGACATAGCAGACCAGAGCTCCCAGAAACAGCCTCTCGCTGATGATCTAAGTGGTATTTCTGACAAAGGTACCCACGTACCAAGCAAGTAATATGATTTTCTTAACAAATAATGCTCTATCGTTTGAATAAACATGTGGGGGCTCCCCTCGCAACCCTCTAGCTGACATGATACCATAGGTAAGAAGTTAAAGGCTGAGTCCTAGTGCTCCTTTCAGAAATCATGAGAGAACATCTTCACAGCATTCTGAATAAACCCATCGCCAGGCCAAGCTTGCGAACGGCTGATTCCAGAGCACAGAACCACACTTTGTTACAATGGCCCAAAAAAAGGAATACGTTGCGCATTTAGACTTCATTTGCCTGCTAAATTTGCATTATATTTGCAAATGAAAGTTGTATTATATTAGATTACAAATATAACTACTATCTTGGTTTCATATTATATTACACATAGCTATTAATGATTTGGGTATTATAGTGTATGATATTATATTGATATCATGCAATAGTATATACTACAGTATATTTAGCTATTATCTTGATATTACATTGTCTTGTATTATACTGTCTTGATATTATGCTATATTATATTTTGTTATATCATACATAGTTATTAATCATATTAGCTTTAAATTATATTGTGTTGTATTATATTATCTGGCCATTACATTATACTACCATCTTATATACAGCCACATCTCTAGAGCTGGGACCGTCCTCAGGGCTAGTCAGCCAATACTCACAGGGATATGGAGGAAGGTCTTGGCTTCTGTCTTCTTCATGGAATTTCCCTCCAGAGGCAGGCGCTCAATCTTCCCAGTCTGGGCAAAGAGTAAGTGAGTCCCTGGGGGTAGGGGGATGACGGCTGTAGGTACTACGGGTCTCTGGTGAATAGGAGGAGCCACTGTACTCAAACCTAGAGGGCAAGAGAAGGTCAGTGAATGAGAGCTGGGAATACCGAAAATGCACAGGCGCATGCTAATGCTCAGACACACAGATAAATCCATGCAGACAATTGTGTGAGCACACACGTACATAAACATGTGCATATGTTAATATGAATGGAACCCATGCAGACATGTGTGAGAGCACACATGTATACAAACATGTGCATATGTTCATATGAATGAAATCCATGCAGACATGTGTGAGAGTACACATGTGAATAAACATGTGCATATATATGTTCATATGAATGGAATTCATGCAGCCATGTGTGAGAGCACACATGTACATAAACATGTGCATATGTTCATATGAATATATGTGTATGTGTGCTCATGCCCCCATCTACATATCACCCATACCCCAGGTCTTGTCACGTTTATGGCATGCACACAGGACAGCCAGCCACACAGCACCCACTTTGTGTCTGAAAACTCTAGAGGCAGAAAGCCTTCAGCCAGTCAAAGGGCATTGGGAAGAAGACAGGGCAGAACATGAGTTTAGTTCTAGAGGTCCAGTGGGGTAGAGCGCTAACCTTGCTCCCTCTTATCCAATGACTTGATTATGCTCTGGCTGGATGCTGGGCTGGTGTAAGAGCCAAAGCAGTTCTGGGAGTAACAGCCCTGACTCCTCTGCCTGCAGGGAGTGACATCTTTAACACTGGTGGCGAAAGTTATCAGTGAGGGCTGCCACATTCTGTCCATTGCTCTGACATGGGGCATCCTCCAACCTCACAAGTAGAACCATGTCCACCTAGGTTCTTAAAACCAACAGGCTAGCCATGGGCTCATCCATTCTCTAATGTGGCCTGGCATCCTTGACTTGTTGTGACCTCCTGACCTTCACCCCGGCTGGCTAACTCCCTGAGCAAAGGGACAACTGTGAGTGTTTTTTTGGGGGGGGGGGGGCGGGGCGGGAGGACATGGCACAGGCCACGGGCTGGCCAGGTACTATCTGTCTTTCTACTGTGCACATAGGGCACGTGCCTGTCTGGGCTTCTTTTTAGCTGTCTAAATGGAGAGCTGGCTAGATGTGGAGCATACGTGTAATTCCAGCACTTAGGCAAAGGTAAGAGGATCAAGAATTCAAGTTTATCTTTGGCTAACACAGTTACATTGTCAGTTAAAGACAAGCCCCCAACATGAGATCCTGCCTCAGAAATATAAAAAAAGACTGGGGCATATTAAGGTCCAAGGGCCTAGCTGTATAGGAACATGTATTGAAAAGATAAAAATACGCATCTCCACTAGAATAAGCAAGGCTTTGAGGAGAACCAAGGGACCACAGCATCCCTGATCTGCCACAAAGCCCAGCAGTCCAAAGCCTGGCCGCCCCATGTTTTCCACAGGCCCTACTAGGAATGGTCACAGAGCACATGAATACCCAGAGATGAAGGAGAAGTGTATTTACAGAGGTGGGGAGGAGGGCAGAAGGTGACAGGTGGAGGGTTGGTAGCATGTGAACAGGGAAACAGAACATCCACTAACAAAGGCCATTCTGGTCTTCACGTCTACACGACAGTGGTCCACTTACATGGGGGCCTCATCCCGGGCCGGGTACGGGTACCCTCCAGCTCCCGACCATCACGGTCCACACACCAGCAGTAGCCAGTTCCATGGTGGCACTGGGTGGGTTCATAGTGCCCATACTCATCACACTGGGGCACAAACATGCCCAGCCTGGGCTGCTGGGCGTCTGCCACCCCTGCTGCTCCAAGGATGTGCTCTCGTTCCAGTTGACACCGGGTTTTCTCCACCTCTGTCAACGACAAGCAAAGCTGAATGTCAGTGGGGCCGTCCACGGTGTTCCCAATGCCATTTGCCAGACTTGGACCACAAAGGTGCCCTGTCATCACCGGAGTTTGTTCATTTTTCTTTTCCAATTTAAAACCTCTTTATGAGAGGCAGGGATGTAGCTCAGTTGGTGAAGTGATTGCATAGCCTGCAACAAGCTCTGGGCTCAGAAGTCCAAGGTCATCGTCAGCGCGGTGAGTTCGGTGAGTTCGTGACTAGCTTGACCTTGTCCCTACCGCCTTCCAAAAATCATAACGCTTATAATTTTTAAAAAAAAAAAACCGACATCATGCCATGCATGGGAGACAGAAATAGGTGGATCTCTGTGACTTCAAGGCCAACCTGGTCACTATAGTAACACCCTGTCTTTACAAAAAAAAAAAAAATCAAAATATTATTTATACCTGTAGATTCTCTTTCCTACACAGTTCTTTTAAGAATTAACTCAAAACAGATATAACGTAAGATGAAATGCTTCTAACTGAACAATCCCACGGCATTTGGCACGTCCACAGTGATGACGAACTATGGTGGCAGGTTTGTATCTGAATCCTTCTCATTACTCTAAAAGGAAACCTCACGCCTAGTGAGCACAGGCTGCCACGTGCCCTTCCTCCCCACCCGGGACGTTCCCAGCCTCCATCCTTTCGTGGACATTCTCACTTTGTATATTCCATACAAATGGAAGCATAGGACATGTGGCCTGCGCCTGGCTCCCTGAGCGGATCTTCCAGGCCCATCCTCACCACGGTTGCCCACCAATCCTCCTTTCCCTTCACCGGCGGAATACTGCATTGTTCAGAAAAGCCGCGGAATAATACTGGATTGTACAGAAGAGCCACATTTTGTTCAGCTATGTTTCCACCGATGGATGGCCCTGCCATATGTTCTAAGGCGTTTTAAGTTCCTCTTAAATTCTTCTTTTACCCTCTCAAGCTTCATGTGATCTACACTGAAACAAAGCCAAAGAATTTAGAGACCAAAGATCAGGAGGCACTCGCCAGCTTCTATGTGTTTCCTTCTAGTGAAGGCTTATGTCTGCCATGAAATCTAGCCTCTGACCTGTCCAGTTCAGATTCCAAAGCAGGGCAGTACCGCTACGCAAGAACATTAGGAAGTTGGGTCATAGTGTAAGCCTGGAGTCTCAGCTCTTGGGGGTGCTGACTCAGAAGGATTAGAGGTTCAAGAAGAAGTCTGTCTCAGCGAAAGAAAACAAAACTTGACATAGAATAAACAAGTCCTAGATGTGCAGAGTTGCAGCTGGCCTCACATTCTCTGGAGCCCAGCCACCAGCAGGGACAGCGGAGTGGTCACTTCTGAAGCATGAATCACACAAAGACATTGATGAGAAGCATCTATTCTCCGTGCTACTACTGCTGAGAGCTACACGCATCCAAGTCTTAGTGTTTCTTCCTTCCGGGCCTTTCCAAGAGCTGTTCTTTGTGCGACACCCCCTTAACTTCCCAGCCGAACCCCTTTTTCATTGCCTGGTCCCTCCTCCAAGACCTCCTGCAGGAGGACTTCTCAGCCCCTCCCCCATGCTGGGTTTGCTGTTTCTGGCACGCTCCCAGGTCTTCCCAGAGACTCTTGGGACCCACGACCTGAAGGTGTTGTTCTCTGTCTGCTGAGCAGACTCAGGGCTCTCACAGGGTGGCTCTCTTCAACTAAGAATTTACGAAGAATTCAAGACTGGACTGGGTGCACACACAAGCATCTTTAGGCCTGCCCTCAGGGAACCATACCCAGAGGGACACAGCAAGGAGACACATAGGAGAGTTTCTCTCCACTGGACAGGAAAGCACCAGAAAGTCTGTTAGGGTGGCAGGAAGATTGTGATTAAACTGCTCTTAGGCGGGGGGAGGGGGGAGGGGAGTGGGGTGGCAACTTTCTGACTTTGTGTACCAATGCTGCCTATCACAACTACCCAACTCTGTGATTTGCTTGATATATAAATTAATGGACAATAAAACTTCATTTACAAGCAAGGTTTGGTGGTGCACACCTTTAACCCCAGCACTGGGGAAACAAGCAGGTGGATCTTCGTGAGTTCCAGGCCAGCTTAGTCTACAAAAAGAGTTCCAGGACAGCCAGGGCTGTTACCCAGAAACCCTGTCTCAGGGGTGGAGGGTGGGGGTGGACAAATAACCTAAACCAAAGCAAAGGAAAACAACAAAGCTTTATTTATAAATAAGCAGTAGATTTGGCCTATGGGGACAAAAGTTGCCCTTTCTGGCCCTAAGACACTGCTCTTTATTTTATGGGAAGTTAACCAAATGAGGCTTTCTCCATGTTACAATGTGGCAAGAAGGCCCTCACCATTTAACCATGTACTTCCCAGCTTACAGAATCCCAAGACAAATATACTTCAGTTCTTTGTAATTAGCAAGCCTTTGGTATTCTGTTACAGCTCTGAACGACAAGGTAACACACATGGGTGGAACCCTACATAGCCACTTGTGACCTGGCCTATACAAGGCAGACATGGTGACTTCAAGGAATATACAACCAAGGACACACAAAGTGTCTCATCTGTATGGCCAGTTCTCCTGCTACCTGGCCTAACACAATTGCTCCCTTGCTTAGGGACAGTCAATATGCTAGAAAAGTGTTTGTTGAACCTGGTAAGAGAAAAAAACTGTGTGGGCTTTTCTTTTGTCCCGGAGGATAATGTAAAATAATAATAATAATAATAAATTATAATAAATAATAATTTATTATCAAATAAGTAAGCAAAACACTTGATGTAGGAAGAGGCAAACAAAGATATGAATAAGTCATCTGGTTAGAATCAAAATGTTGACTTTTGTATTCTATTTGATATAAAAGTTATTTAGTTTCTCAAAACCTTACATTTGCTCAGGTTTTAGAGTTTTCACACTACCTGACTCCACTTCCACACATATGTCACTTACTCCCCATTGTATGTACACATGTATGTCTGTATGAGTGCATAGTATGTGTGTGGATCTGGAGTTACAGGAGGCAGAGCCGTGACTGACACGTGGGTGCTGGGGATGGAACGCGGGTCCTCTGCTATAGCAGGAAGAGCTGAACTGCTGGCTCTTCTCTCCAGTTTCCGTGCCCACTGTGGTAGGGATTTGGTTTTTACACCAAAGGGGAAAAAACTAAAACTCAAAGAGATAAGAGACTCCTCCAGGGTCACAGCACTGGAAAGGACTTGCCACAAAGTCTGAGGATTCCCGATCCAGCCCCTGCCCCTTTCGGTTGGAGTCTTTGCATTCACCTCTCCGGCAGTCAGCCTGGCTCAGACACAGTGAGCAGGGTAATACTAATGATGACTGTGTTTGGGATCGCCATGGAGACACACCTGAGGGGGGCAGGCCTGTCAGGGTGTTTCCAGGGAGGATTCACTGAGGAGATCACACCTGCTCTGAATGTGAGTGGCATCTCTGCTTTGCTGACTGCAGGTCAAAAGGAACCAGCCACTTCATACTAGATTGCTGCGTGTTCCCCTCCCCGATGGCCTGTATGCCCAAGCTAGGAGCCAAGATGAACCCTTCCTTAAATTGGTTTTCTCAGGCATTTTGTCACAATGAGAAAAGTGATGAATACAATGGTTCTTATTTCCTTAACCCAGTGAAGGTGCCTGGAAGCCCCCAGAGGTTTTCCTCACAATATTTCCGTCATTAACCACTCTGACAGTTACAGTAGATTAATGTTCTAGGTGTCTCCAACCAAGTGGGATTTTCTGTGTATGTGTACATGGGTGTGTGTGTGTGTGTGTGTGTGTACATGTGCGTGTGTGTGTGTGTGCATGTGTGCAGAGGCCAGACCTCAATCTCCGGTGTCATTCCTCGGTTTTCCTTAACTTCTGGACCTGAGGCTTACTGACTAGGGTACGCTGGTTAGCCAGTGAGCCCTAAAGATCTGCCTGTCTCTGTCTCCACAGCACTAAGATTTCCAGCATGTGCCATGTCCAGTTTTTAAATGCAAGTTCTAGAGACTGAACCCGAGTCCTCTTTTTTACATTTTACCGATCGAGCTATGGCCCCAACACCCAAGCAGAGCATTTGAGTGGGTGAGGGTTATTTCATTTTATGCAGCAGACAGACTTTTGTGCCGATGCCCTGTTGAACATTCAAAAGTTCAAATCATCTAGACTAGATCCTGAAACTTTCAGAAATATCTTGAATGTATAAGGATAGGAAACTCAATTCTGAGTCAGGAAGTAGAAGAATTTTATAGAAGGCTATGTCCCCATAGGCTTCCAGGAATGAATCCTCGTCCTGGCAAACAGGCAGGAGTGGCCAAGGGTGCCAGGATTAACTCCCTAGGGAATTTTGCATCAAGGGCCTGGTAGATGGGGTGGGGACAATAAGGGTCAAGAAGACACATTTGCTGGGCTTATTTCTGGTCAGTAAAATTATATCAGACGCGCTACTTCTTCTGGGTGGCTCAGCTGGGAGAAGAAACATATGGTCCCTTGAGACAACTGACGACAGGCAGGAAGTTCGGGGTGGCTTTGCTTGAGAAGGCAGAAAAGAAAATGAGAGGCCATGAAGAGAGAAAGGAGGCGGCCCATTTGTGATCTCCAGAGTTGCATTCTACTCCCGGTCACACCTGTGACACTGTCAAGCCATGGCCACCGCGGCTGGGTTGGGGAAGACACGCCAAGCCTCTCTGGTGGACGGCAGGCAGCAATGGGAAGACCTGCGACTGGAGGGAAATGGTGTGCGGAGGTGCCACTCACTCAGGTGCTTCCTGCACAGTCTCAGCCCCTTGTAGGGACCAACCATCCCCATTAACCACACAGGCCCTAGCACGACCACAATACACATCTGTGAACACAATGCAAGAGCCCCATCTCTGCTGGCTTTGGGACATCACTAGCTGCTGAACAGACTCATCGGCCCAGCATGGCCATGCTTCCCAGAATGAGAACTTAAAAGGAAATATATAAGATCCCCAGTGTGGGATCCCTAGGAATTTCCTAAGAATAGCAGC